CATCACAGCACTCAGTACCCAAACATCACAGCACTCAGTGCCCAAACATCACAGCACGCAGTGCCCAAACATCATTGCAGGCTCTATCATCAACTCGCCATCCATGCAATTGGTCTTCATAACTGCTTCATTAAAAATAGTAGACAATTTTAAATATTTTCATAATTCGAAGAGCATAAAACTATTCAGGTTTGAATCACTAGGCGGCTTTTCAATAAAAAAAAGTTACACATCATCCATCCAAACACTGATAGTTCAATGGTATAGGATAGAGAGTGGATATGGGTAGAGGGAAGATGTGAGTAGAGGGTAGCGGGAAGATGTGGGTAGAGGGTAGATATGTATACATGGGAAATTTGTGTACAAATGTGTAAAAGGCGGTAATGCGTCCGTGAAAGATGTGTGTACATAGCAAATTTGTATACAAGGCAGTAATGCGTTCCAGCATATACGAAAACATTCAAAGACTTCACAAGTATCATAAGAATCATTCACGAGAATTATGGCTTCAAGAGCTCATACAATATTTACATCTTTTAAAAAGACTATACTCTAGCTTCAACAAGTCACAATATCAAATCTTAAATGCTATAAATCTTTCTTCCAACAATATCAATCCAGGTGAATACACCAAATAAGATTAAGCCTACAAATGCCTACAGTGAAGAGCACAGCCTGAGAAGGCGCTGGAGGCTTGAGCCTTAAAACTGTTGTAAAATGGAGAGCTGCTCCAGAGGAGGCAAATGCCAAGTAAAAATCAGCCTAGAGGAGTAACCGGTTGGATGAATCCCTCTAGGGATTCATCCAATAACCAACAAGGCATAACTGCGTAACCTTCAAGGGGTTCATCAATAATCCACAAGGTGTAGCTGCAAAACCATCATGGGGTTCATCCAATAACCAAGGCATAACTGCGTAACCTTCAAGGGGTTCATCAATACCGTAATCCACAAGGTGTAGCTGCAAAACCTTCAAGGAATTCATCCAATAACCAACAAGGCATAACTGCATAACCTTCAAGAGGTGATCCAATAACCCACAAGGTATAACTGCATGTAACTATCATTAGGGTTCATCCTATAGGATGTTACCCACAAGGCCTCACAATTTGGTCACCCCAATCCTCATAATTTGGCCTGGTTAAGACTGGGTACGCAGCTTTATATTTACCAACGCACAAAATACCAAGAATGGTTTAAAATCGTAAATTAAAATTGTACGCAAGGCATCCTTCTTGAGTACACATAAAGAACACTGTACAGTTAGCTGCCATTAGGCTGAATATCTTATTTAACTTACAAAATAATAGAGCTAAACTTCTTTCATATATGATTACACAGACAAATTTGGATAATCCAAAGGGTATTGACCATGATTGTCAGGAAATGTGGTTTGGTCTGAACTTCTAAATTGTACATTGCATTTGTGAAAATAACTTCTCTACCCTGACTTCGGCTCTCAGGTAAGAATAGCAATAGAAGGAACGGATCAGTTTGGGCGGAAATTGTTGATGTGTTTGCAAACAAAATCATTGTGGTTGACACAACCTAGGGACTGACACAATCACAAGGGTTGACACAATCACGGGGACTGAACAAGTTGAAGTTAGGATTGCAAGGCAGTGGATTGTGCCCATGGTGGTGGACTGATATGTAACCATGGTTGAGGTGCTGGCAGCCACTCAAACCAGGTTGAGCTACCGGCAGCAGTATGACTGGGGTTTGGGGTGTGGGTCAGCGAGCAGGGTTGTGGGTTGATTGGGTGGAGACATGGACAGCTGGGAGGTCCGGCGGGAGGTGAGGATGTGGTCAACCAGCCACCGCATCGTCTCGTCTGCAACACAATATACCTTTGTTATCCTTAAATTAATAATCTTGTTTCCACCATAATATTAAGCTCATAATATCTAGTGCTTTCATGTCATTTTATCTAGTGCTATCATATATCTAGGGCTATTACGTATTGTGCTATCGTCGTCACTGGACGCCCAATCATTGGTTAGATTACAACAGCTACACGTTCGTTATCATGACAGGCCAAAGGTCGTGTATGATATTTTGTACATGATTATATTTTTGGTTAAATCTACGCTCATCGGCCAGCGAGTGAGAGGACAGAGGAGGGGGTAGGAAGTGGGGGTGTGAGAAGGGGGCAGAGTGACTGCTGAGAGAGAGTGACTGCTGTGAGAGAGTGACTGCTGTGAGAGAGTGACTGCTGTGAGAGAGTGACTGCTGTGAGAGAGTGACTGCTGTGAGAGAGTGACTGATGGGAGAGAGTGACTGATGGGAGAGAGTGACTGATGGGAGAGAATATCTCAACACCTGAGTCACTAACACAAGCGTGGTATTATGGAAATATCTATTTCAGTTATTTGAGAATATTTTACAGGAAAACCTCCCAATTGAGAGGCTTAAGATGAGCAAAACTTTACTGAAGCAGACATTTCACACTTAGTAAACCAGAGCCACACAGCTAAAGAGATAAATTCAAACGCATCAGACATGAAACCTCCCTGGCAACCACTCTGAGACGGAATGCTGGCAGAAGATCTTGAAAGAAATGAGATTTGTGGAGCAGAATGCCCACTGAACAAGTCTCAGCAGAACACTTTGAAGTACTACACCTTGAGAAGAAATCTTTGAATCAGAAAGCACCATTAACCAGCGTTATCGGCACCTAGCACCAGGCCGTACTACAGAATTACACGCACACTCAGCTCACATTGAGCACAGCCCAATTCAGCACACTCTGACCAATATTGATGTCCTCCTTGGCTGAGGTGAGGAACCAGGCGTCGATGCTGTGCTGCTCACAGAACTGCTGTAGGCTTGAGACGTAAACGCGGCGCTCCTGCTCACTGCTCATGACGTCACACTTGTTGGCCAGCACCACGACGGGTACCGTCGCTCCGTCACCGCTGCTCAGTGACACCTTCTCGCGTACATCATACACCCACTGCACGATGGTAGGAGGTTAGTACATGACAGTGCTGCTGCAGCCACTGCACGATAGTAAAGGGTGAAGACATGTGTTGGAGGGTGAGTATATGGTAGTGATGCTGCACTCTTAGTGTGATATATTTCAGTAATTTAAGGTAAATTTCAACTTTGAGTGTTTCTGGTGCCTGGTAATTGAAATCATATTTTTGCATTTACTTAATCAAGTGTACACTAGATATTGTACCATTGTTGCAGGATAGAATACACTTTGAAGTAATGAGATACAGAGTCGGCAGAGAGACGAGGATGCCACATTGCTACTTGGCATCAGATGGCACAGAAATTGAAGAGAAGCAACAAGTTCGAGATCTCAGAGTGTTGATGAATACCAAAGCCACATTCAATGACCATATCAAAGAAATATTTGTGCAAAGCAGACAGCGGATGGCGTGGATCTGGTGAACATTTCGAGCAACGAGAGAAGCAGCAACAATGATTGCACTCTTCAGAGCCCTTGTGCTCCCCAATCTTGAATACTGCTGCCAGCTTAGGGCGCCGCTCAAGGCGGACGCGGTGCGGAAACTGGAGTTAGTCCAGGTGACCTTCACGTCTAGGATAAGTGGTACTATGGAGTTGAAGCTGAACTATTAAGGTAGGTTGAAACACCTGGGACTGTACTCACTGGAGAGGAGAAGAGAGAGGTATATCATACTGTACACTAGGAAGATGATAACCGGACTGGCTCCCAACTTGGAGAGTGAGACCTCCAGAATAGTGACACATTACAATGAAAGGAGGGGGAGACTGTGCGAGGTTCCCCCATTTAATAACCGAGCCGCGGCCAGAGTACAGACTCTTCGTGAGGGATCACTGTCCGTGGTAGGACCGAGGCTCTTTAATGCCTTGCCAGAGGTGTTGAAAGGAGGCGAGTTCACCCTTGCAACATTCAAGAGACAACTGGACTTATGTTTTTAGAAAGATCCCGTATTGTATGGTTGATACCCTCAGCAAGTGACAAGCAACTGCATTTTGCATCAGCTGACCCAAAGGAGGGCAAATAGACAGAACAAGTTCAACGTTACCTCCGGGACTCAAATGCACGGTGACCCGACTTTCAACAAATTGGAGATGGAGGATGACAAAGGTAGCGCATCGGCGTGACCGTGGCTAGTAAGTTCTAAACTTATCATAAGGTTATAAGGACTTATAAAATTTTCAATTGTGCTTACCTTGGCTACAGCATCCAGCGTGCAGGGGCGAGTGACGTCAAATACAACCAGCGCTGCCACCCTGCCAACCATCCATCATTATTGCATCCATACAATAATATATCAGGCAATAGGAGTTCAAAAGTAATTTAGATAAACAATTCAATACCAAGTAATCTTCAGTGTGGGACTAAGAAGAACAGACAGTGATCTTGCAATTTGTTGGATTATTTTCATGGAAAAATTGAAGCAAGGTAAAATACATATAATAGTAATAATACACTCGTTATTCAGCATGATTTGAATGTTACTAATAACATTATTCAGGAATATATAGTAATTATTTATTGTATATAGGTATACTAAAGAATACTGATGTAGGTACTAAATTTAATAATGAGTGCAACACCTTGTACTTCATGTAATAAGGAGTGTAACACCTTGTCAAAAGTGAATGTAGTGTTAGCACTCACATGTACTTGCAGTAAAAGTGTTTGCACTCACTTGTACCTGTAGAGAAAGTGTTAGCATTCACTCGTACATGCAGTAAAAGTGTTAGCACTCACGCGTATTTGCAATAAAAGTGTTAGCACTCACGCGTACCTGCAGTAAAAGTGTTAGCACTCACGCGTATTTGCAATAAAAGTGTTAGCACTCACGCGTACCTGCAGTAAAAGTGTTAGCACTCACGCGTACCTGCAGTAAAAGTGTTAGCACTCACGCGTACCTGCAGTAAAAGTGTTAGCACTCACGCGTATTTGCAATAAAATTGTTAGCACTCACGCATATTTGTAGTAAACTCTTGTGAGTTGCCCGAACCTCTCATGCCCAGCAATGTCCCTGAGGATAAATAGATCTCCTTACAGATAGGCTTCATATTGGATTACTTTCATAGAATTAACTGGTATGTGATAACTTTTATATCTAAACTAATTCATTTAACAAAAAATTACCCAAATCTTCTTCTTATTCTTATTATCAGAAACTAATAAAAATCTGCACCTAAAAACCCTCTATATATAATTATGGTGCTAAAATTTGGCGTCAAGAATCATAGCTTCAATTGAATTGCTGGAGGCTGTGGAAAAATCTCACTTACCAGAGTTGTAGATTAATTTTGGTATGGGCATTCCAGATTAAAGTTTTGACAGCAAAATCAACTCCAATGGTGAGCTTGTAGTTGGGGCTAAAGTAGCCTTTGGTGTAGCGCTGGATGATAGCAGTCTTTCCTGTAATACAGAATTGATAAATCATTCTCAAACATTTCAATGTCAATGCATTAAGTTTCAATATTCATGCAATAGCTAGAGTTTGCCATACTATGTACATATAATATCTACATATTTATTGTCAAACAGCAACTAAATTAATTATAAATTATCAAAAAAGTCACCATAGCTTTAGAAATAATAAAATTATGCATTCAAATTACCAAATACAAAATGAATACAAAAGAAAAATTCTCTTCAGAGTCATGAAAATTGAAGAGATGCATTAGAATTCCTCAATATTGCGCCAACAGGAATGCTGCTCATCCATGTGAGTGAAGACTCTTATAGCTTTCAATATGGAATGGCTTGAAATGGCCTTTTGTCATTGGCAAAAATGATATATAATATGACTACAAAAACAAGTTTTATATACAGAACCCCATATGTGGGCAAAAAATTTAGGAAATCTCATAAAAAATTTCACAGATAAGATATAAATTATTTCTAACATACAAGTATTAAAATGATAGAAATGCATGCCCTATACAACCTTAGCAGTAGGAAAGTATAAATAATTTGGTGATTAAACCTTCCTTGTCAGCCTGCTTAGGAACAACTGTACACACACTCAGTATAATTACAACCTACAATTCCATACAGATACAGTCTCATAATTGAGAGGTTCTATTCATTGGAAGTACTTACCTACACCATACTCTCCAATAACACTTTATACTGCAGCACTCACAACACCACTCTCCAATAACACTTTATACTGCAGTACTCACCTACACCACTCTCCAATAACACTTTATACTGCAGCACTCACAACACCACTCTCCAATAACACTTTATACTGCAGTACTTACCTACACCATACTCTCCAATAACTAGCACTTTATACTGCAGTACTCACCTACACCATACTCTCCAATAACTAGCACTTTATACTGCAGTACTCACCTACACCATACTCTCCAATAACACTTTATACTGCAGTACTTACCTACACCATACTCTCCAATAACTAGCACTTTATACTGAAGTTCTCTCGGAATCAGTGACTCCTCAGGAGCAACTGATGTCATTTTGATGTGCTAAAAGTAAAGGATGGGACATCATCTGCTCATTACAACTATCTGAAAAGAAAGTATAGGATATGAAATTTTAATATGACAACAATAATTCATGAGAATCTGAATTGAGGAGTTATCTCCCTAATGAACTGCTTACAACCTGTCCAAGTTGAGACAAATATAATTGTAATAGTGCAGCAATGAACAAAAAAAAGTAGAGTCATGGTTTTACAAAGCCTCATTAAAGCTCTAGACTCTAGTGGGCAAGCACAAAAATATTTGAAAATTCATGTTTCTGAAACCACAAACCAGTATAAGAAAGAATTAACAATCACAAGATATATTTATGAGTGCGTATTTTCCTAATTCCTTCAGTGCTGATAAATACTGCTTTCAAATCTTTACGCTCACATTAGTTCCAATGAATGTCATGATAGCTTGTTGAAAAACTTGAATATATGCTGCTATCCAAACTTTAAAAAGCATTTCTGTATAGTTTAGCTTCTTCAATATAATTATAAAGCACTATTATACATAAGTTGCCATTTATAACATTGGTTGCAAACTTGAGTGAACAATTAGGCAGAAGCCACAAGTGAATTGACAAAGAGGTCTGTGAATCTGGCCAATTTCACCATTCCTATAGCTGTGCTGGAATTCTAAGAATGGAAGTTCACTTATTAAAAAGCTTTCCACCCAAGCTGAAAAGCTTTCCCATTCCCACAGTGCTCTTCCAGGTGAATGACTTACAGCTGGAATTCTGGAAAGGGATAGGATATGTAAATAATGGACTGAAAGTGTAAAGTTCCTGGCCTTTCCAAGCTTTCAGGTCCTGCTTTCCAATATGCTATGTGTACTAGTTAATTTATTATCCCTCCAGAATTCCACACTGCCTATAGCCTTTCCTAAATTTTTCATTAAAAAATAAGAAAAAACAGCCTATTTTTACCAACAATTTTTGAAAATTACTAGTGAAATTATTGTTTTTGCCTTAGATTTTAGGAAAATTCTTTCAGGTATTGCAAATTGGGCATTTATAGAGAAGCAATGAAGCATAATTACTAATTAGTAATTTTTACTCATTAGATTTATAACTCAACTTCTTGAAGGCAAAAAATTGCACACTTCTACACATTTGTTTCAAGCATGCAAATTTAAATTGTATCCAATAGTAACTAAGATTTCAGCTTCCACTTCCAGTACTTTAGGTCTGAGTATTGAAGAACATCTAGGTATTCATTTTCAACAGAAGCCCATTCATAAAGCTACTTTCAGTTTGTATCTAATTAAAATTTTACGTGCACGGGTTTTTCCGCTTGTTGTTTTCTTTATTTTGCAATTTAGTTTCTATTATTTATTCAGTACATTTTAATCATGCAAAGGATTATAACTTCATATTGATATTTTTGGATTGACAATGGAGATGGATTAAAATATTTTCTATGGAGACATTGTTTACTTTTATCACATTTTCTTTAATTTCAATTTTTAAATGATAATATGGTACTCACAGAGAAGTGTAAAATGCAACTTCTGTAGGATAATTATTTTTACCAGGATATTCCCATCCAAGCCAAATTGGAAAATACCATTTTCAACTAATACCTACTTTGAAGCTTTAATGTTCATAGATAGAAATACTGGTAGCTCAATTGCACAGTTTTATTTACAATTAGATGAAATGTAGGTAAATCATCCAGCCTGCAGGAATCTTACAGCAAAAGTCTTGAAAAGGCAGGCAAGCTTTTGTTGGCAACTGGCAAGTTGTTGTAGTGTTGTAGCTCAACAATAGTACCGTAAATTCGATATATTTCTTTCTTGTGTGCGACAGGACAGGTGACATTCTCATTGTGAAAATGCATAAAACTGACAAATTTTGTGATGGTTAGGTAGAAAAACAAATAAATCTGCACCAGACTTGTGTCACTTTATGGTTTACAGTGTGGCCTTTAGCTTGATATTTTGATATTTTAGGAGCTAGTCAATCAAGTTACAATGGACATTGAATTGGCATCCATGTCCAATCACCAACTACTTATCTATTGATCAACACTGCCCGAGTGCATGAATTAATAGCTGTCACAGTGTCACCCATTTAGTATAGTGCTTATGGACTTACTGGTGACTCACTGTTCCTAAAACTCAAAAACTCAAAAAAAATCAAACTTTTACATTGGAAAGACAATGAGTCATATATATTGGTTATAACAGGGAAAGTTTTCAAGGCTCGTTAAAATCCAAGGGAATAAATAAAGATGGCCTCCCAAGTCCCAACTCCCTTTATAGCCATCCCTGTCAAGTTTCACAGTCGCTGCGGCCAGAAGTTCCAGAACATGGAATGATCTGCCAGCATCAGTGACATCTGCTTCTTTGCTAGTGTCAACCTTCCTTTTCTCTCTGTTCAACTTTTTTTCAACTCCAGTACAATAATTAATAATTAAGGGACTTAAAATTAACCTAACTTAAAACTAACTGATTTATCAACCTATTGAACCTAATACAATAAAAACCACCACTGGCCCAACAGGAAATCTTAACATACAATTATACCAAACTAACTGAGTTAAACTTACTAAGCTAACTGGCTAACAGGTAGGGTAAATGCACCATATTCCAACACTGTGGGGAATTCCAACACCCCTCAACTTTTTCCTTCATATTAAGCTTGGTCTTAGTTCCATACATGCGTAGATGGTTGAAATGGTGATGTCATAGTATAGCGCGCAAGATTTCCACAAAACACTAGGTCTAGCGGAAAATGTTAAGATCCACAGAGCAAAAGTCCAAGTCAGCTAGCGACATGAGAAACATCAAAACACATATGAAAGTTGATAGTTGACCTTGCTTTACTAAATAGTGATAAATTGTTTGTGATGAAAGAATATTATGGTTTGAGACTTTTAAATAAGTCTGTGAATATATTAGGAATCCTTTAAGTATACTTGTATTTGCTGATTTTAAGTGGTAAATAAATTAATAGATGATTGATTTAAGAGATGGTTTTAGACACATAAAAACTAATTCCAGCACAGGGTGTCAGAATTACAAATTACGATTTTGAAGTGCTGTCGGAATTAGTCTCGCAATATGCCACATTTAGTCACACACAGTGTTGGAATTCAGCGATTTGTAGATTTTAATTCTAAAGGCATTTAAATAAATATGGCAACAGTTTGTGACATTTCATCATTGCTGGCACATAGTGATAGTGTGGTGTTTTGAGAGTGACAAGTTTTGAGAGTGTGGTGTTTTTCAGACTCAAGTTGAGCATACAGTGATCTATTTATAGCCATTTATTGCTTGCCACGTCCTTTAACATAGTGGCAAAGCAGAGATTTTTTGGAATCAGGGTAAACGCGGTATATTCCGACATCGTAGGTAATTCCGTCACCTCTCCAGCTTTTCCTTTATATTAAGCTTTGTTTTAGTTCCATGCGTTCATTGATGGTTGAAATGGTGACGTCATACATTTGCGTGTCGAAATACTGCAAAAACCCTAGGTCTTGGCCATCTAGTGGGAAAATATTGAGATCCAAAGAGAGACAATGCATGCCA